ATTTAGTCATATACTTAAATGGGGTAATTTCAAAAAATACCCCTTTTCATATACCTCTTTTTAAAAATACCCCCTTTTCAAACTTTATCAAAAAACCCACTAAAAATGTTGAAATTTATCCAAATATGTGTGTAAGCTTATAAATATATACACAAATTACCTTTATATGTGTATAAAACTTTATATACCTTTCATAAATAGCGTAAAAATAAATTATAAAAAGCTTATAAAAACCTTATAAAAACCGTATAAATCCTTTTAAAAACCTTATAAAACTTATAAAAATAATTTAAAACTATTTAAAACATTTTAAAATATTTGTATCGAATCTCCCAGTAGTAGTTATTATATAGAAGTACCTTATAAACTATATAAAACTTTATAATTTTTTATATTTAAAAAGGGGTATTTTTGAAAATGGATAGATAAAGGGGGTATTTTTAAAAAGGTGTACACCAAAAGGGGTATTTCTCAAAAATTCTCTTAAACAAATAACATGTAAAAATGTCATAAGCATTTAAATTTATTTAATCTATTTTTTATAAGTAATAAATAAATTCAAATAATTAAATAAATATACAACAACCCGCGCATATGCGCGGGACGTTACCTAGTAGTACATAAAAGCTAAGTTCAGCAGAGTATATACATTTTTTTTTGCTTTGTTTAAAATTGACAAGGGTCGTAATTAATTATTAAACGTACACAAATCATTTTAGTCAAGATTTACAAGAAGGAATCTCCTTTTTCTTTGTACAAATGGGCTCATATATATACTGTATATATAATGATTCTCGTTTTTGACCCTAGTAATTTTCGTTTGGATTGATGAAGTTATTTCTTATGAAATAACGTTTTACAAAATTACAAGTGCATCACCTATAATAACATTTGGGTCAAAGTCCAGTTAACCAAGTCCAAGTGGTCTGCATGCAGTACATGCACAAGGTCAAGGTGAACTGCGACTCGACTCTCACGTGATTACACTTTGGCCACCATATGAAAATAACTTTCTCTCCATCGCTAAACATCTTGGATTATGATTAGTTAACGTTAAATATGTGTGTATGATACAACTTTTTTTAATTTATTTAGGCAATTATTGTGGTTGAAATGTCCAATTCCTATGGATTTCCATGATTCAGTCGTTATTGTGGACCGTACGTATTGGTATACTATACTAATTTCAATATAACTACTCGTTATTAACGTGAGTACTTAACGTGGCTTAGCTAGCCTCTCTTTTGTCTTCATCAATTATTATAATCTTACGTTCATATTTTGATGACTACTTCATAATGGAGTGTAACATTTCCCAAAGTTGTATATATTAAGGCATGAGCTTTCTTCATAACTCGGGAAAAAACAATATAATATACTGATGGCTAACGTTTTGATTTTGTCACTTCTCTCCCTAATCATCATCTTTCTTCTTCTCACCGCCTTGAAACGTGCAAAGCGACGGCAACTTCAATCAATACCGTCTCCTCCTGGTTTCCCTATCATCGGAAACTTACATCAGCTCGGAGAATTACCACATCAGTCTCTATGGAAACTCTCAAACAAGTATGGTCCTATCATGTTTTTGAAGCTTGGAAATGTCCCAACAGTCACACTTTCTTCCTCTGAGACAGCAAAACAAGCTCTAAGAGATCATGACCTCCTTTGTTGTACCCGTCCTTCCTTAGCAGGTTCTATATAAATCATTTCACAACTCCACATACTAAAGTTTTGTATTGTTACTTCATTCATCTCTCAACTCATCAGGGGGTAGAGAGCTCTCTTACAACAACCGGGACATATCTTTCTCTCCTTACAATGATTACTGGAAAGAACTAAGGAAGCTATGCACTCAAGAGATCTTTAGTGCTAAAAATATTCAGTTAACTCAACCCATCAAGGACGAGGAGGTCAAGAAACTGATTGATTCGATCACGGAATCAGCTTCTCAAAAGACTCCGATCAACCTGAACGAGAAGTGTCTTGCTTTAACTGTAAGTATAGTATGTAGGACAGCCTTTGGTGTGAGTTTTGAGGGAACTGTGCTTAGCAATGACAGGTTCAACAAGTTAATCCGTGAAGCTTTCGAGATGATGGGAAGTTTCTCTGCCTCAGATTATATTCCGTACGTTGGTTGGATCATTGACTGGTTCACTGGTTTGCAAGGGCGGAGAGAAAAAAGCGCGAAAGACCTCGATGCATTCTATGAACAAATTATTGATAAGCATAAAGAGGAAAAGGAAGTAGAGAATGAAGATTTTGTGGACTCACTCTTAAGATTGGAGAAAGAAGAAGCTGTTATTGGAAATGGCAAGTTCACAAGAAATAATGTTAAAGCAATCTTGATGGTAACTTATAAAACATTCAAATTAAAATCCAATGGTAACATGTTCAGTAAACAATCTTTACTAAGTAATAACTTCTTGTAACAGGACATTCTTTTAGCGGGGATTGAAACTTCTGCAGGAACCATGACATGGGTGATGGCAGAACTTGCGAGGAACCCACGAGTGATGAGGAAAGTTCAATCTGAAATCCGAAACAGATTTGGGAAGAGAGAACTAATCAGCTTGGAAGACATAGATCAACTACACTACTTGAAAATGGTGATTAAAGAAACATGGAGGCTACATCCTCCAGCACCTCTTCTGCTCCCAAGAGAAGTAATGTCTGAATTTGAGATCAACGGCTACAAGATTGAAGCCAAGACACAGATTCATGTCAACGTATGGGCTATCGGGCGTGATCCCGATACCTGGAAAGACCCGGAGGAGTTTCTTCCCGAGAGGTTTCTTGATAGTAACATTGATACAAAAGGACAGAGCTTTGAGTTGTTACCGTTTGGGGGCGGCCGGAGAATGTGTCCTGCGATGTACTTGGGGACAGTAATGGTGGAGTTTGGTATGGCGAATATGTTGTATCATTTTGACTGGAAGTTACCAGAAGGCATGGTTGTTGAAGATGTTGACGTGGACGAAGCTCCTGGACTCACTGTGAACAAGAAAAATGATCTTCTGCTTGTGCCAGCGAAGTATTTGGATAACTGATCTCTTGAATGCTTGATCTAAGTTCATCATGCTCGATTATACATAAACAGAACACGCAGTCTGAAGTTCCTCTGTTTCTTTTAGAAGTGTTTATGGAAGTGTCTAAGAGAAACTTTTCATTTGTAACGTAACTTGTACGTCAACTGCAAAATGAGCTTTACGATCATCTTCAAATATGAAACTAAGAATTGCTCATTGGGTTGAATTGATTATGCTCATCGTGAAAAGAACTAACTCCACAAGTGTATTACGCGGTCGAAGTCCTCATTAAAGACCCGTAATCCAAGTATCAGATTTGATTTAAGACATTATATGTTAGGGTTAGGGTACCAAATTTTTTTTTTTTTTTGTTCTTTCTTTATAATTAATAAAAATATTTGTTTTTATTTTTTAATGCATTGTTGATTATTATTGAAAGGAAAAAATAAAGGGCGTATAAGTTGTAACGGTTCATCTCAAAGAGAGCCATATAAGTTGTAACGATGTCAAAAAAAAAAAAAGAGCGAAGTGATATACATTTTTTTTTGAAAAATAATAATAAAAATTTTGTAAATAGAGAAAGAGCAAGTGACCTAATAGTTCTCACCTCTGTTTTGCTTTTTCACCAGATCCGGGTTCGAATCCGGTCCCTCTCAAAGAGAGACTTATAATTTGTAATGTTGTCGAAAAAAACAAATTTGTAAACAATTGAAAACGATATAAAGATGCATCATCCGACAATACATAAACCAAGAGCACAAACAAGAAGACATTTTTTAAAGATTCTGAGAAATTAATATATCCTACACAATTACATGTTTTCACATGGATAGTTATAAGTTTGCTGATTTGCTGTATTAGATTAAAAAAAAGTAATAATAAAGTGCTACATATAACACAATCAATTAATCAAAGTTTCTCTTGATCGTTTGGTGGTTAAGTAGTAACAAGATCTACTTAATCCAGTTATTTGACTAGCGCAAGCCTGAGAAATTACTTTGGATGCAAATCTGATTTGTTCTAACTTTTATATTCAAATACATTTGAATAGAATACATATAATGTAACATAGTAGTTTTTTTGGCTGAATAAATTTTATATTCATATAAATAAAGAGTGCTACATAAATATAACACTGGTTTATTAAAAATCTTCGTGAAAAGCTGGATCTAGTTGTAGCTGATTCATTGATCTAGACCCATCCTTTCTCGCCTCAAATAAAATATATCAATCAGTGATCGTGGACGATATTGTGGCCTAGCTAGTGATGTCAATCTTGCCTCATCTTTTGTTTATGCGTTAGTTGTGCTCTTATCCTTAGATTAGGGTGATTGGTTGAACAGATATATAAATCCAGATACTCAACAAACTGGCAAGTGTTGCTAACCGCGGTTAATGGTTACTGGCCGAACCGGCTCGAGAGTTTCATGGCGAGGTACTTGTTTCAAACTGCCATCTACACTATTTGGAAAGAGCGGAATGGACGACGTCATGGTGAGTCTCCTAATACCGCAGCTCGGCTCATAGACTCAATCGGCAAACAAATATGGAATTGCTTTTCCTCCATTAAGCTTATGGGAGATAGGCGATATGACGGTGGATTGCAACTTTGGTTCGCTTCAAGAGTTTTTTCTTAATTCCTTCTGTTTTTCTAGTTTTCAAAAAATTTTAAATCTCCTGATGCACTAGTTGTACAAAAGCTATTTTTCTTGAATATAATTTAACATTAGATTAAAAAAAAATAAAAAAATAAGGGGATCTATAGCTTAGTTTAAATTTGAGAGTTCTATAGTTAATCTGGGACACTAGTTACATGATAATATTTTCATTTTGAATTACCAAATACTAGTAAAGAAGTTTTTTTTGGTAATAATAGAGAATGTCACAATTTTTTTGCATAGATTTTAAGGATTTGACTTGAATATTTAATCATCTTTGATGATCTACATAGTATGTTTTCTCTGTAATTACTTCACGATCTACATCTTGGTTTTAAAGTTATTTCTAATAAATTCCGACGGAATTATTGTACATTAGTGACAGTGTTATATCAACTTTTACTAAATAATGCGCTAATACAGTAAAATCCTTATTCCATCAGAAATTTTGAGACGGCTGCTCTATTATATATATGAACACGTATACGGTATATGTGCATAATTATGTGATGTGACCTTGTGTTCCAAAGTCAGCGAATTTTATTACGACAAATGTGAACCATGTATCAAAGATATTTTCAAAGTCTCATCATTGACAAATAAAACAAAATACGAACGCTATAGACGACGTAAAACAAAGGACCGTATACGTTATTTATTCGCAAAGTCGAGTCGTGAAAATGTCGAAAACTTCAACAAAAGTGTATACGTTGTTTATTTATTTTTGTCAAACAATAGATCATATAGTTAGTTAATGTTTACGTTTTTTTTTTTTTGTTTTTTTTTTAAAACCAGTTGATGTGATACGTTTGTATCATAATAACATAACTTTTTTTTTTTTTGTCAAACGACAGATCATAGTTGATGTATACATTTATATGTAGTATAAAAAAAACATTTTACCTATTCTACAAAACTAGTCTTGGGTCACTCTAGTTACAAGAAACAAAAAAAGTTTACTTTTATTTTGGGTTCATATTGTCAAAGTCAATTTCAAATCAATTAATAAATTAGTGAGGTGCGTATTACTTGAAGTTGTATATATATTTTGGTGTCAATCAATTTATATTTCGCTTTCTATAATCACTAAAACAAAATAATACACAAATGGCTAACATTTGGATTCTATCACTTCTCTTCTCAATCATCTCTCTTCTTCCCACCGCCTTGAAACGCACAAATAAGGGGAAGCACCGACAAATACCATCTCCTCCTGGTTTACCTATAATCGGAAACTTACATCAGCTCGGAGAATTACCACATCAGTCTTTATGGAACCTCTCAAAGAAGTATGGTCCTGTCATGCTTTTGAAGCTTGGAAATGTCCCAGCAGTCATACTTTCTTCCACCGAGACAGCAAAACAAGCTCTAAGAGACCATGACATCCATTGTTGTAGCCGTCCTTCTTTAGTAGGTACTATACAAATCAGTTCACATTTATACTAAAGTCTTGAAATGTTGCTTCATTCATATCTTACTCCTTTAGGGGGAAGACAACTCTCTTACAACCACCGGGACATATCTTTCTCTCCTTATAATGATTACTGGAAAGAACTAAGGAAGCTTTGTACTCAAGAAATCTTTAGTGCTAAAAATATTCACAAAACTCAACCCATCAAAGACTTGGAGGTCAAGAAACTAATCGATTCAATCGCGGAATCAGCTTCTCATAAGACTCCGGTAAACCTGAACAAGAAGTTTCTTGCTTTAAATGTAAGTATAGTATGCAAGTCAGCCTTTGGTGTGAACTTTGAGGGAACTGTGCTTAGCAATGATAGGTTCAAGGAGTTAATGCGTGAAACATTCGAGATGTTGGGAAGTTTCTCTGCCTCAGATTTTGTTCCCTATATCGGTTGGATCATCGACAGGTTAACTGGTTTGCAAGGAAGGAGAGCAAAAAACGCGCAAGATCTCGATGCGTTCTATGAACAAATTATTGATCTGCATAAAGGGGAAAAGGAAGTAGGTAGTGAAGATTTTGTGGACTCACTTTTGAGATTGGAGAAAGAAGAAACTGTTGTTGGAAATGACAAGTTCACAAGAAATAATGTTAAAGCAATCTTGATGGTAACTAATAACACATTCAAAATCCAATGGTAAGATATTTTGTCACAATACCTAACTTAGTACTTGTAACAGGACATTCTTTTAGCGGGCATTGAAACCTCTGCAATAAGCATGATATGGGCGATGACAGAACTTGCGAGGAACCCACGAGTGATGAGTAAAGTCCAATCTGAAATCCGAAACAAATGTGGGAAGAGAGAACTAATCAGATACGAAGACATAGATCAACTTCATTACTTGAAAATGGTGATTAAAGAATCATGGAGGCTACATCCTCCAGCACCTCTTCTGCTTCCAAGAGAAGTAATATCTGAATTCGAGATCGATGGCTACAAGATTCAACCAAAGACACAGATTCATGTCAATGTATGGGCTATCGGGCGTGATCCTGATACCTGGAAAGACCCGGATGAGTTCCTTCCCGAGAGGTTTCTTGATAGTAACATTGATACAAAAGGACAGAGCTTTGAGCTATTACCATTTGGGAGCGGTCGGAGAATTTGTCCAGCAGTTTACATGGGGACAACAATGGTGGAGTTTGGCTTGGCAAATCTTTTGTATCATTTTGACTGGGAGTTACCAGATGGCATGGCTGTAGAACATATAGACTTGGAAGACGCTCCTGGACTCGGTGCCAACAAGAAAAACGATCTTCTACTTGTCCCATCTCATTTTTACTACTTATAACACCGCTTCTCTTTAACTTTGTTGATAACTTGATGCTTTGGTCTTAGGCTCTTAGCTTTTTAGCGCTCATTTGTTTTCATGGTTTTGTTAAACTTGTTTCTCCTTCTTTTTTATCGATCTCTCTCTACGTTTTAATCTTCACCATCGTATGTGTATGTACTCAAACTTCAAATTTCGTCAAAGCCTTCTAAAGCTTCCAATTCTTGAATCAGTTCTTTCTTTCTATATAGAAAACTAGAACAGAGATTTCTATATCAAATTTGCTCTAAATCCGAAAAATAAAAATGATTTGATTTTCCTGTTCAAAGAAATTACATATATAATTATGGTCATACATTATTTTATTTCACAGTAGTGCATCCACATACTTTTTAGCATCGTCTTGACGAAGAAATAGTGATAAAGCCGTATGGATTTCACTTCATTATTAATCAGTTTCAACGATCCATAGAGACTCACACGTTGCTTTCAAATCATATCTAATAAATTACGACGAAATTACATCATTTTGACGATATAATTTTGGTTATAAAAATTGAACTGAAAGAAACGACGAAACACTAATTAAGGTCGCCTTGTGACGACTCTATTATATATGAACACGCATTATGTGCAACAAAAATCATGTGATGTTTATATGTGACGTCGCCTTGTGATTTTTTTTTGTATTCAGAGATTTTATTACGATCAATGTGAACCATGAGTCAAGATATTTTTAGGTCTCGTCATTGACAAAAGTTGAAAAAGAAAAGACAATATCAAAATTTTTATATAGTTATTTTAAGTCCGATTGATTTGAGGATTGAACAGTATTTCAAAAAACATGTTTGAAGCACTTCAGGTCCACTCGCAGTGTTCATACGATAGAACCATAGCCAAAGTGTACGTAATGAGTTTATGGTCTTTAAATGAGAGCTAGTTGCTACCACACATGTAAATTTACCAGTCAAAATTTTCAGCAACTTCTAAAACTACAGTAATACAACCTCCTAACTTATGACCCTATTTGGTTAAACAGGTTGCTAGTAAAATTACATGTGAAGAAAAACAAAAAAAGACAATGTATAAGAAAATCGGAAAAAAACTGAAGTGGTCGGTTAATAACGCTTTGTATAAGAAAATTGTAAACGAAATCTGTATAAAAAACTGAGAATAACCTTTTAATAACGCTTTTGTTATAGTTTTTGTGATCGGTAATTGTCAAATTACAACCTAAACCAAAATGATTCATGATTACTAATCAATGCCATTGTAAAAATAAAAAAAGTTCTAATTTTCTCTGGAAAAGTGGATATCTAGGTTTTTCACTCATTTAGTTGACATGAAATAAAGGTCCATTTATATATGCTTAATTATCTCTATCTTTTGTCAAACCCAACTTGGCGGCCACTTCCACTAACATTCACTATTTGGTTTATAAAAGATATATTACTACTTATCATGGCAAAGTAGTGAAAATTTCCAAAACTTAACAAAGTAGCAAAAATTTCCAAAACTTAATACAAAATTATTAGGTGTATACGTTTCGAGTATAATAACATAACAATACGTTTATACATATTTTTGTCAAATTATCAAGTCGACTTCAATCAATTAACCGACATTTTTTGGCCACTTCCATTAATCCACTATTTGGTTTATTAAAATTATATTATTTATGATGGCAAAGTAGTGAAAAGTTTCTAATCTTCTACAAAATTCCACGGTTAAGTCATTGTTGATTAATTACATAAACAAAAAAAGAAAAAAACTAAACAAATTAGGTTTTGCCCAAAAACAAAAACAAAAAAAAAACAAATTAGGTTAGCCATCTCTTATCTCGTCTCTGTTTTATACTCATCAAACATTTTGGTAGTTGTATTTATTTTGGAGGATTTTTGTTTTTTCTGTAAAATTATTAACTCGAACTCAATTAAATTAGTGACGTGAACAATACGCGAACTTGTATATATAGTAAGGCATGATGAGAGCTTTCTATCACCACTAAAACAAAATAATAAACAAATGGCTAACGTTTGGATTCTATCACTCTTCTCCCTAATCATCTTTCTTCTTCTCGTTGCCTTCAAACGCACAAATCAGGGGAAGCACCGACAAATACCATCTCCTCCTGGTTTTCCGATCATCGGAAACTTACACCAGCTTGGAGCATTGCAACATCAGTCTCTATGGAACCTCTCAAACAAGTATGGTCCTGTAATGCTTTTGAAGCTAGGAAAAGTCCCAACAGTTGTACTTTCTTCCTCTGAAACAGCGAAACAAGCTCTAAAAGACCATGACCTCCATTGTTGTAGCCGTCCTCCCTCGGCAGGTACGTATTGTATATCTCACACAACACACATTGACACTGTAGTTCTGAATTTTTACTTCATTCCTCTCTTAACTCATCAGGGGCAAGAGAGCTCTCTTACAACTATCTTGATATGTCTTCCTCTCCTTATAATGATTACTGGAAAGAACTAAGGAAGCTATGTGCTCAAGAACTCTTGAGTACTCACAAAATCCAATCGATTCAGCCCATTAAGGACGAGGAGGTCAAGAAAGTGATTGATTCAATCGCGGAGTCAGCTTCTCTCAAAGATCCGGTTAACTTGAGCAAGAAGTTTCTTGCTTTAACTTCAAGTGTAGTTTGCAGGGCAGCCTTTGGTGTGAGTTTTGAGGGAACCGTGCTTAACAGTGACAGATTCAATAAGTTAGTCCGAGATGCTTTCGAGATGTTGGGAAGCTTCTCTGCCTCAGATTTTTTCCCATATGTCGGATGGATCATTGATCTGTTCAAAGGTTTACAAGGGTGGAGAGAAAAAAGCGTACAAGACTTTGATGCCTTCTATGAACAAATGTTTGATCTGCATAACAAGGAAAAAGAACAAGCAAGTGAAGATTTCGTGGATCTGCTCTTGAGGTTTGAGAAAGAAGAAACTTTTGTTGGAAATGACAAGCTCACACGAAACCATATCAAAGCAATATTGATGGTAACAATATTATGAACGTTAATCGAAAGATTATTTACTAATATTAACATTCATGTTTTTTTTTTTTTAACATTTCTTGTAAAACAGAACGTTCTTTTAGGAGGGATTGATACTTCAGCAATAACAATGACATGGGCAATGGCAGAACTTGCCAAGAACCCTAGAGTCATGAATAAAGTTCAATCCGAAATCAGAAGCCAAATCAAGAACAAAGAAAGAATCAGCTTCGACGACACTGATAAGCTCGAGTACCTGAAAATGGTGATCAAAGAAACATGGAGGTTACATCCACCAGTACCTCTTCTACTACCAAGAGAAGTAATGACCGAGTTCAAGATCAATGGCTACACGATTCCAGCCAAGACACGACTTTTTGTGAATATATGGGCTATTGGACGTGATCCTGATACCTGGAAAGATCCTGAAATGTTTCTCCCTGAAAGGTTTATGGATAGTAACATTGATGCAAAAGGACAGAACTTTGAGCTCTTGTCGTTTGGGAGTGGTAGGAGAATTTGTCCTGGAATGTACATGGGAGCAACAATGGTTGAGTTTGGCTTAGCTAATCTGTTGTATCACTTTGACTGGAAATTACCAGAAGGCATGGCTGTTGGAGATATCGATATGGAAGAAGCTCCTGGACTTAGTGTAAGCAAAAAAAATGAGCTTTTACTTGTTCCTGTGAAGAAGTACTTAGACCATTGATCACGTAATCCTTAAGTTGTACTAATTTGATTCTGTAATTTTGCATTATTATATTCTCGTCTTTTAAAACTGTATTAAAATATCAAAAACAATTCTCATCTTATAAACTGTACTCTTTAAAATAGGGTTTATCTCTAGTCTTTACACGTATAGTATGAGTACGATAATATTTTAACCTCACACGCTCAATCTTCATCTCGAAGCTTATCCTCAGGGACGACACTAAACGACGTTAAACTTTGTATATATCAAAACCAAACTGTGTTTCCTTATATCAAAACGTCTTCTCGGACTCGGTGAAAGCGAGACTAGTTGTTTTGTATTAAATGCTCTGTTTCTCTGTCTCCGAAAAAAAACAAAAGAACGAAAATAATGGCGATTCTTCTGTCTTTCTTCTTACGTCTATTCCCTCCTGTTCTCTTGTTCGTAATCTACACCAAGAAGATAAAAGACTCAAGCCAGAAACTTTCTCCTAGCCCACCAAAGCTTCCGTTCATCGGGAACCTACTCCAGCTTCGAGGATTGCTTCATAGATGTCTTCACGATCTCTCCAAGATTTATGGACCGGTGATGCATCTCAGTCTAGGGTTTGTCCCAGTTGTGGTAATCTCATCAAGTGAAGCAGCTGAAGAAGTTCTAAAAACCCATGACCTAGAGTGTTGCACACGTCCCAAGGCTCTTGGCATGCATGCAGACATGTAATGGTAAAGACATTGGTTTTGCGTTATACGGTGAGGAATGGAGAGAATTGCGGAAGCTTGCTGTTCTCGAGTTCTTCAACATGAAAAAGGTCAGATCTTTTAGGTATATTAGAGAGGAAGAAAATGACTTGATGATCAAGAAACTGAAAGAATCAGCTTTGAAGCAATCTCCGGTGGATTTGTGCAAAACACTTTTCTTTCTGTCTTCTAGTATCATATTTAGATCAGCCTTCGGACAGAACTTCTCGGAAACCAAACATATCAATAAGGAAAAAGATTGAAGAATTGATGTTTGAAGCTCTAACAAATATGTCATTCAAATATTACGATCTCTTCCCTACTGCGCTTGGCCTTGGATGGTTTATGGACTTTATTTTAGGAGAACACAAGAGACTTCATAACATTTTCGTCGAGGTTGATACTTTTATCAAGAAAGTGGTTGATGGTCATTTGAAGATTAAACCAAAAAAAAAAAAAACTAAATACTGTCCTGATATCATTGATGTGATGTTGGAAATGGCACACAAGCACGAACAAGATGATTCTTTCAAGCTCACAGTTGATCATCTCCATAGAGTCGTCTCAGTAAGCATATTAGTTTTAGTTCGTGATTCTTGAATCTAATCCTGACCTAATCATCTTTCTTGACCAATCCTGACCTAGTCTTCTTTGATTGGAGATTACCGGAGGAAAATAAAGACATGGACATGGAAGAAGCTGGTGATGTCACCATCGTAAGAAAAGTTCCTCTTGAGCTTTTTCCTATTACTCCCAATGATAGTGTCACATAGTCTTAAGAAAACTCTGTAATAGATGCAGAGCTTGGACTAGAGTTATGTTTTTCATGAATAAAACTAGATATGGATACGGTTACTGCTTCCTCGGATTCTTTTTGATATATATCATCCGGATGTCACATGTCAAATTGCAATTGAAATAAATCAATTCCCCTCACGACATATAGCGTAGACAACAGTTTGAAATAGATAACGAGCAGTGAAGCTCTCTGGAGTAGACACAAACGCCATTATCATGATTTTTGCAATTGCGGAGGTCATGAGTGGAAACCCTAGAGTAATGAAAAAAGCTCAAGACGAGATCCAAACTTGCACTGGAGTCAAACAGGAAGAAAGAATCGTGGAAGAAGAACTCAATAAGGTTCAATATTTACATCATATTTGACTATGAGATTCCAACTTAAAACTATGTAATTGGTAATGAGCAAGAAATCCAATTTCATACTTGTCAGGATCCTACTCAAGTATATTTTTATTCAGGCATAAATTAATGGACCAACTATTGGGCCGGGCTGATTTTGGATTGGGTTGAGTATATGCCGATTGAGCTTTAATACCGTATTAAATAGTGAGTTTTCAACTTAAAACTAATTGACAATTAGTGGAGAAATTAATATATTTTATATAATAGTCAACATCATATTCAACTTCCATTGTGGGATATTGTTATTCCTAATACATTAATGGTAAGGTTTTTCAATTGGATTCCTTTCCATTTTCTCACTATTTTTTTCCCTAAGAATTTTGTTTCCTACCAATTCAAGTTTTAGTCAAAAACAATCCTAATAAATAGATAAAGGATACACAAAGGTCAAAGATGGAGCAAATGTGTATATATAAATCACGACCTTGCTTCATTGACAATATCAAAAAGAAAACTTGAGATACATATATTTTTCTAATTATTCAAAAAAAAAAAAAATGGTTACCTTTTGGTTTCTTTCACTTCTCTTTTTCTGCTGTATTGTCCTAGCCGTCTTCAAACACAAGAAGAGGCAGAAAAATCAGCAACCACCGTCTCCACCTAGCTTTCCGATCATCGGAAACTTGCATCAGCTCGGAGAATTACCACATCAGTCTCTATGGAAGCTCTCAAAGAAGTATGGTCCTGTGATGCATTTGAAGCTTGGAAGAGTCCCAACGGTCGTAGTTTCTTCTCCTCAGACAGCAAAACAAGCTCTGAAAATCCATGACCTCCATTGTTGTAGCCGTCCTAGCTTAGCAGGTACTTTTTCTCTCGCTCGACACATATATACAAACGTTTTTATGTTTGCTCCTTTATTCATAAACTCAAAAAAAAAAACCCTAATGTTGAATCTTTGATCATTGTGTTAGGTCCAAGAGAGCTTTCTTACAAGTATCTGGACATAGTTTTCTCTCCTTTTAATGATTACTGGAAAGAATTAAGGAGGATGTGTATGCAAGAACTCTTCAGTGCTAAACGAGTTCACTTGATTCAACCCATCAAGGAAGAGGAAGTCAAGAAACTGATCAATTCAGTCTCGGAATCAGCTTCTCAGAAAACAGAGGTTAACTTGAGCAAGAAGTTTCTTGATCTAACTGTAAGCGTGGTATGCAAGGCAGCATTTGGTCTGAGCTTCCATGGTACTGTTCTCAACAATGACGGATTTAACAAGTTAATCCGCGAGGCGTTTTTGTTTTTGGGGAGCTTCTCTGCCTCGGATTTTTTCCCAAACAGCGGCTGGATCATCGACTGGCTCACAGGTCTACAAGGACGAAGAGAGAAAAGCGTGAGTGATCTCGATGCTTTCTATGAACAAATGTTTGATTTGCATAAACAGGAAAACAAAAAAGGTGTTGAAGATTTCGTGGACTTGCTCTTGAGGTTAGAGAAGGATGAAGCTGTTCTTGGATATGGCAAACTCACAAGAAACCATATCAAAGCAATCTTGATGGTAATAAGTTATAGTCATAATCATAATCTTATCACAAAATCTGCAAAATATTCCCGATCTAATTGTAAGATATAGTCAAACAATAATACCTAAATGTTTCTAACATTATGTTTCATGATCTTATCACAGAACGTTCTTCTTGGTGCCATCAATACTTCTGCAATAACAATGACATGGGCCATGACAGAACTTATAAGAAACCCGCGAGTGATGAAGAAAGTACAATCCGAAATCAGAAACCAAATGAGAAACAAATCAGTGATCACCTTAGATGATATAGATCATCTACCTTACTTGAACATGGTGATCAAAGAAACATGGAGGCTACATCCCCCGGTACCTCTTCTGGTTCCAAGAGAAGTTATGTCTGAATTTGAGATCAATGGCTACAAGATACAACCCAAGACACTGCTTTATGTGAATGTTTGGGCTATGGGGCGCGATCCAGATATTTGGAAAGATGCAGAGACGTTTCTCCCAGAAAGGTTTGTGGATAATAACATTGATTTCAAAGGACAGAACTTTGAGCTGTTACCCTTTGGAAGTGGCAGGAGAATCTGTCCTGGAATGTACATGGGGACAACAATGGTGGAGTTTGGTTTGGCGAATATGTTGTATCAATTCGACTGGCAGTTACAAGAAGGCATGGTGGTCGAAGATATTGACATGGAAGAATCTCCTGGACTCAATACAAGCAAGAAAAAGGATCTTCTACTTGTTCCTGTGAAATATTTGGATCATTGCTAACTTGAATAAAATGTAGCAAGCATGGGATATTCTACCTAAATAAAACTGAATCTTTTAATATTGTTATGTTTCCTTCAATATTTCTTTTATATAACAAGTAGAAAATTCTACTACGTAGTACGTACTAAAATTATTTTGAATCATAGATTAGAACCAACGATAACTACTACGTACTAACGTTGATATGACCAGCCCCGGCTCAACATTTTTCTAGTCCTTTGGGCAAAATTTTTTTTTTTTTGGCTATTTTTTAATTAAAATTTTGTTTTGAGATTTTTTAAAATTTAAAGTTAAATTTTGGGCCTTTTTAAGAAAAATTACACTGTTATAAAACTTTTTTAAATTATATGGGCTTTTTAAAATAAAATTAATAGTTTTAAAAAAGGCTATTTTACTAAAACTTTTGGACCCTTTTCTTATGTAAAATTTAAAAAATGTCATAGTCCCCTGGGCCGTGGCCCCTTTGCCCACCCCATTTGGGCCGGGCCTGGATATGACATATGTATGAACCACCTTCCAAGTAGTGCGGTCTGGGTTTTAGGTGATCGTCTCGGCTAGGAGGAAGAATGTGATCCGATCTGATATGAGCCTTCGCCAGGTCAAACTCAAATATGATTATTTAAGCTAGTTTCAAGACAATTAGTAATGGAGAAATATCTAATTTTTAAACTCAAATATGATTACTTAAACCTAATTTTTACTAATTGGCGACAGGAGATGGAGAAATATCTTAAATATTCAATTATTTGATGATAAATTGTGAGATTTTTTTTGGTACTTATTTGAAGACAATTTTGGATAATTTAGAATTTAGATTTAGAAACAGTGTTTAACTAGTTGAGGTTCACATATTATGAAGAACATTTCAAAGCTTATCCTCACCAGCAGTCTAAACATGTGACTTATGCTGCCGTCGTACAGCAGACGTCGTTTTATTTTATAGTCTGAAATCTGAATACACTATGTTTCTCCATAACCAAAAACAGAACACAGAACAGGAAAACACAAAATTATGTCGATTCTTCTATATTTGATCTTGTTTTTTCTTCCTTTCGCTCTTCTAACGTTAATATTCAGAAATAAAATCAAAGATTCGAAACAGAATCTTCCTCCAAGCCCATCGAAGCTTCCGATCATCGGAAACCTACACCAGCTACGAGGGATGCTTCATAGATCTCTTCACGATCTCTCCAAGAAATACGGACCTGTGATGCTTCTCCACCTAGGCTTTCTCGATTTGGTTGTCATCTCATCGAGTGAAGCAGCTGAAGAAGCTTTTAAAGTACATGACCTTGACTGTTGTAGCAGACCTAGGACCACCGCCTCATCAAACTTATGGCGTGATGGTCAAGACATCGCCTTTGTGCCATATGGTGAGGTTTGGAGTGAACTGCGCAAAGTCTCTGTGGTAAAGTTTTTCAGAGCGATAAAGGTTCGATCTTTTAGGTACATAAGAGAAGAAGAGAGTGATTTGATGGTCAAGAAACTTAAAGAATCGGCTCAGAAGAAGAGTACAGTGGATTTGAACCAAACAATTTTCTATCTAGTCGGAAGTATCATATTCAGATCCACCTTTGGGCAGCGTTTGGAGGAGAACAGGCATGTCAATAAAGACAAGATCGAGGAACTCATGTTTGATGTCCAGCTAGTTTCGTCTCTAAGTAACTCTGATCTTTTCCCTGCTGGGGTGGGATGGTATATGGACTTTGTGTCAGGACGACATAAGAAACTTCAAGGAGTTTTCGTGGAGGTTGATACTTTGTTGAATCATATTATTGATGATCACTTAAGAAACCCTATAGAAGAAACAACTCCCGATCGTCCGGATATAGTCGACTCGCTCTTAGATATGATAAATGAACAAGAACAAGATAAATCTTTCAAGCTCACCATTGATAACCTCAAAGGAATCATCCAAGTAAGCATTTAGATATAATTCAACCTCTCTGAAGTATATTACCATAAGGCTTTTTTTTTGTTTTTTATAACAAAATTAGAGTAAGTCTTTCATGTTAATCGATATAGGATTCTTTACCTTTTCTCAAACGCAAACGTTGATATTATGTCAAAACACAAAGGAACTATCTATAAAAATTAGATCTTTAATATATACTTTTTGATTTGGTAATCTTAAGATATGTCCTTAACCATTTTATGTCGTTGGTGACCAAGGATATATATCTGGCTGGAGTAGACTCAAGTGCCATCACCTTGATTTGGGCAATGGCCGAGCTTATTAGCAACCCGCGGGTGATGAAGAAAGTTCAAGATGAGATCCGAACATGCATTGGGATCAAACAAAACGAAAGAATCAAGGAAGAAGATGTTGATAAGCTTCCATACTTGAAGCTTGTGATTAAAGAAACCTTCAGACTACACCCACCAGCTCCTCTTTTACTTCCACGAGAAACAATGGCTAATATCAAGATCCAAGGCTACGACATTCCTAGTAAAACAATTCTTCTGGTTAACGCATGGTCGATAGGACGAAGCCCTGATCTCTGGCAAAACCCTGAGGAGTTTAATCCGGACAGGTTTATCGATAGTCCTATTGACTACAAAGGAAATAACTTCGAGCTGTTACCATTTGGTTCTGGTCGGAGGATATGTCCAGGGATAGCTTTTGCGAGTACCACTATTGAGTTGGGACTCCTCAACTTGCTTTACTTCTTTGATTGGAGATTGCCTGAAGATGATAAAGGTTTTGACATGGAAGAAGCTGGCCATGCCACAATTATTAAGAAAGTTCCTCTTAAGCTACTCCCAGTTCTTCATCATTTAAACAGCTAATAAAGAAAGAGAAAATCTTCATCTTCGAATGAAACTTATGTAATGGTTGTTGAAATAAAGAAAGTGACATGTTGACGAGGCCCATTGGTTTTTGAAAGTTTGATTTTGCACCTCTCAAAGCTTATCCTCAAAAACAATTATATGTAATGTTGCCGTGGTAAAGACGTCATAAACTCTTTGTTTTATTGTCTTAATACTCTGTTGTGCTCTTATACCAAAAAAAAAAAAAAAAAAAAAAACAGAACAAGAAACAGAGGAAAACTAAAACAGTATGATTTTGTATTTCATCATAAATTGTGAGAGTAAGAACTAAAAACACTTAAACACATAATATGTAGTTTTTTCAAAAGAATGAACACATAATATGTTAAAGGAAAAATTGTATAGACTATGATTAAAATAAAGATTACAAGTTACAATCTCTTATATTAAAAACTATGTACATAATCACCCACCCGTGTAATGTTTTTCCTTAAAACAAATGAATGAAACAATACTCTGTAAGCATAATACCTCGTTCAAAAACATTATATAGCATACACATAGGAGATGAATGAGATGTATTTTTTTTGGGTACTTATTTGAAGACAATTTTGGATAATTTAGAATTAGATTTTGGAACAGTGTTTAACTAGTTGAGGTTCACACATTATGAAGACAATTTTCAAAGCTTATCCTCACAAGAAGTCCAAACATGCGACTTTTATGTTGCCGTCGTACAGACGTCGTTTTGTTTTTATAGTCTGAAATCTAAATACTATGTTTCTCCGTAACCAAAAACAGAACACAAAAACAGAGGAAAACCAAAACTATGTCGAGTCTTCTATATTTGATCTTGTTTTTTCTTCCTTTCGCTCTTCTAACGTTTATATTCATGAAAAAAATCAAAGACTCGAAACAGAATCTTCCTCCAAGCCCACCGAAGCTTCCGATCATCGGAAACCTACACCAGTTACGAGGAAAGCTTCATAGATCTCTTCACGATCTCTCCAAGAAATACGGACCTGTGATGCTTCTCCGCCTAGGTTTTCTCGATTTGGTTGTCATCTCATCGAGCGAAGCAGCTGAAGAAGCTCTAAAAGTCAATGACCTTGACTGTTGTACCAGACCTAAGACCAACGCCTCATCAAACTTCTGGCGTGATGGACACGACATCGCCTTTGTGCCATATGGTGACGTTTGGAGAGAACTGCGCAAAGTCTCTGTTGTCAAGTTTTTCAGCGCGAAAATGGTTCGATCTTTTAGGTACATAAGAGAAGAAGAGAGTGATTTGATGGTCAAGAAACTTAAAGAATCGGCTCAGAAGAAGAGTACAGTGGAATTGAACCATACAATTTTCCATCTAGTCGGAAGTATCATATTCAGATCCACCTTTGGGCAGCGTTTGGAGGAGAACAGGCATGTCAACGAGGAAAAGATCGAGGAACTCATGCTTCATGTCCAGCAAGTTTCGTCTCTAAGTAACTCTGATCTTTTCCCTGCTGGTGTGGGATGGTTTATAGACTTTTTGTCAGGACGACATAAGAAACTTCAAGAAGTTTTCGTCGAGGTTGATACTCTATTGAATCATATTATTGATGATCACCTAAAAAACCCTATAGAAGAAACAACTCCTGATCGTCCAGATATAGTCGATTCGCTCTTAGATATGATAAATGAACAAGAACAAGATGAATCTTTCAAGCTCACCATTGATTACATAAAAGGAATCATTCAAGTAAGTATATACTCTAATTCAAAACTCTTAAGAAAATTCAACTTCTCACTGAAATATATTAAGGCTTTCTATTTTTTGACAAATTTAGAGTAAGTCATGTTATAAGAGTCTTTATTTTTTCTCAAACGTAAACTTTGATAGTATGTCAAAACACAAAGGAGCTATCTATAAAAACTAAATCTTTAGTACTTTTATATGGTAATCCTAAGTTAACATATGTGCTTAACGTACTTTTATGTCGTTGGTGACCTAGGATATATATCTGGCTGGAGTAGACACAAGTGCCATAACCATGATTTGGGCAATGGCAGAGCTTATTAAAAACCCGCGGGTGATGAAGAAAGTTCAAGATGAGATCAGAACATGCATTGGAATCAAACAAAACGAAAGAATCAAGGAAGAAGATGTTGATAAGCTTCCATACTTGAAGCTTGTGATCAAAGAAACCTTAAGACTACACCCACCAACCCCTCTTTTACTTCCACGAGAAACAATGGCTAATATCAAGATCCAAGACTACGACATTCCTCGGAAAACAGTTCTTTTGGTTAACGCATGGTCGATAGGAAGAAACCCTGATCTCTGGCAAAACCCTGAGGAGTTTAATCCGGACAGGTTTATCGATAGTCCTATTGACTACAAAGGAAATAACTTCGAGCTGTTACCATTTGGTTCTGGTCGGAGGATATGTCCAGCGATAGCTTTTGCGATTACCACTATTGAGTTGGGACTCTTCAACTTGCTTTACTTCTTTGATTGGAGATTGCCTGAAGATGATAAAGGTTTTGACATGGAAGAAGCTGGCGATGTCACAATTATTAAGAAAGTTCCTCTTAAGCTTATCCCAGTTCTTCATCATTAAACAACCTTAAAACAAAAAAATTATCTACATCTTCCAATAAAATTATATTATGTAATGTTTGTTGAATAAAACAGAGTGACATGTTGATGGAGATATCATTAGGCCCATTGACTAGTTTTTGAAAGTTTGTTTTTGCACCTTTTAAAGCTTATCCTCACGAACAATAACATTATATAACGTACTAGTCGGTTGTCCGCGCTACGCGTGGGAGTTTATTAAATTAAGTGTATATAGTATAAGGTGAAGTGTGAGTGTAAACGAAAGTGCGGTGGAGAATCATTGAAAAACTCATAAACATATGCTATTAGGGTTTTTACCATATATAGATATAGATGTTAATATTATGGGCCTTTTTAATATGTTGGCCCGAAATTTGAAAATAATTTGTGGGTTTCGGGTGGATTGTTGTATTTTTTACTGTTTACATTATCTCTTTATATATTGTCATAAGTTTTTTTTTTCTTTTACATTTTTTTTTGGATTTGACGTAATTTATATCTCGTTATGATCATTTTTATACTATCATATATTTGTTTCTGATTTTATGTTTTATATTTTTTGTTTTTCATGTGGAACAATTTTTAAATTTAACATATTAGTATAATTTACTTTATATTTGGTTTATTTCATTTAATATTGTTTATTTATTTTAATTTCTAATTTTTATTAAATATAGTTAACTTTTTATTTTGTTTATTAGTTTAACATATGTGTTGTATTAGAAAATATTAGTTAAATTCATATTGGAAACCTTTAAATAATTTTTTGGTTTTTTTACCTTTTTATACGTTATTTTAAAATGATAATTCATGTTTCGTTCCTACATATCTCATTTATGTTGGAAAATTTTGTGAGACATAAATTAGATAGATTTATATACTCAAATTTTTTTACTTTTTGTTCTATTCCCGTTAAATCTCATTATAATTTAGGTTTAAATTGTGTAAATATAATCGAATTTTGTGTCATATTATTTTTGACTGATATATATATATATATATATATATATATTTTAAACACTTAAAAACTATAATCTATTATTTATATATTTGTTAGTATAATCGATAATTAGTAAGTTTTTTTTAACTTTTTAATCAATTATCTTTTTTAGTTTTATAATGTATAATATAAGAAAAGACTTTTCATATTCCTTTTTGAAAAACTTATTTACATAGGTCTAAATCTTAAAATTATATGATAAAATGATATAATTAATTTTAAAATTAAATAATAAAATGAGGTGGATGATGATTAGGATGATGATGTGGCTTAAGGAGAAGAGAGAAAAAGTTAACTTTATATATATAGATTATGGGAAAGTATAATGGCTGTACTCAAATAAAAAAAAATTAAGAATATAAATGCTATTTTTTTAATTAGTTTTCTCTCTTACCTACTTAAATTGGACAAAGCTACCCCTAACATAGATAACAAATATTTTAGCACATAACAAAATAGATATCCATAAAATTTTAGAACAATTTTTACATATCATTTATATGTTTCTTATGTATAAGTTAACATAACAGATGAAATATCATAAAAATTAACATGTTAATATATAAGTTAGTTGATATCAATTATATAATAAATAATTTAACTCAATAATTATGAATTTATCAAATAATTTATAATTTATAGCGCTAACATAAATAATTTAGCTATATACATATGAGGTTATCAAATAATTTATAATGTATAGCGGTAACATATGATTTACATAGTTAATACGCTAACATATGAATAACTATAAATAATTTAACTATATAACTATGAAGTTATCAAATAACTTATAATGTATAGCGGTAACATACGATTTACATGATACGCTATTTTAACAAATATCAGTTTTCTTTGTTAAATCGAATTAGGAGTAAAAATGTAATTTCGTTAGGGATGAAGAGAGATATCTAATTTTAAAATTATCACTCTTTTACTTTTTGTTTTCAAATCTTTTGAGTACCAATTTTTAACAAGCCCATGTATTATTGCCTATCACTTATATTGTCGTGGTAAAGACGTCTTTAACTCTTTGTCTTATTGTATTAATACTCTGTCTTGCTCTTATATAAAAACAGAACAAAAAAACAGAGGAAAACTATAACAATGTCGATGACTTTGTATTTCATCGTACTTCTGCTACTCCCGAAAGCTTACGCAACTCTCTCGAAACCTCCCCATATGGCGCAAAGACTATGTCTTTACCATCACGCGAGAATTTTGTGGATGCCTTAGTCTTAGGTCTTGTACAACACTCATGGTCATGTAGTTTAAGAGCTTCTTCAGCTGCTTTTTTCGATGAGATCACAAGTATATCAAGAAACCCGAGGCGGAGAAGCAACACGGGTCCGTGTTTCTTGGAGAGATCGTGAAGACATCTGTGAAACAATCCTTGAAGCTGGTGTAGGTTTCCGATGATCGGAATCCTCAATGGGCTCGGGGGAAGATTTCGTTTTGAGTCTTTAATCTTCTTCGTGAATATCAAAGATAAAAGAGGTTTATTTGATTGTCCTGTCACCTGTGGATTACAAAGGAAATAGGTGGGCTTGTTGGTTTGGTCGTCGCAGGTACCTACGGCTGAGGCGGCGGCAAAAATTGTTGTTCGTTTGGTTGCCGCAGGTTGCCGTAGCGGCGAACGCAACGTTCTGCCATTAAAAATTTTGAACGTTGATTTGATTTTGCGGTCAAAAACGTTGCGTTCGCCGCTACCGCTGCCGCTGGCGCAACCGTCTGCGGCGACCAAACGAACATGCCCGATACCATTTGGTTCTGGCCGGAGGATATGTCCAGGGATAGCTTTTGCGATTACAACCATTGAATTGGGATTATTGAACTTGCTTTACTTCTTTGACTGGAGATTACTTGAGGAGAATAAAGATTTGGATATGGAAGAAGCTGGTGATGCCACCATTATTAAAAAAACTTCCCCTTGACTCTTGAGCTTCTCCCAGTTCTTCATCATTATTAACAACAGTAGCATACTAGCATGTTGTGGGAAATAAATGTTACATTGACGTTGAAATTATGAGTCCACCCGTTTATTTTTTGCTATAAAAGTTTGACGTTGAATCAAGAATTCATAACCTAAATGTTTTTTTTTTTTTTTTTGCTATAAAAGTTTTTCGTTTGATGAACCTGTTTGCATAGTTTTAATCCGAGATTTAGTAGCGATGTTTAGTTGGTTTAAAGGATTTAGATATAGAGCTGGTGGAGTTTTGAAGTTTGATTGGTTTAGGTTCATATAGGAATGTTTCTTGTCAAACCTTATCTTCACTTTACAATCAATAATTGATATGATATTTCAAAAACTTTATACAATGTAAGTTACATTATGTAACACTGAGTCACGGAGTTAAGTTGACATGGTCAAGACACCAATAAGTGTATATACTTTATTGTCTTTTAATACTCTTGATTCTTTGTGAAATAAAACAGAACGCATAACAGAGGAAAACAAAAAAAATGTCGATTCTTCTGTATTTCATCTTGTGTCTTCTTCCTCTCGCTCTTTTTTCATTATTATTCATGAAGAAATCTAAACAAAATCTTCCTCCGAGCCCACCAAAGCTTCCGATCATCGGAAACTTACACCAGTTTCGAGGATTGTTACATAGATATGTACACGATCTATCCAAGAAACATGGACCCGTGTTGCTTCTCCGTCTAGGATTTATCAATATGGTTGTGATCTCATCTAGCGAAGCGGCTGAAGAAGCTCTCAAAACACACGACCTTGAGTGTTGTACTAGACCAAAGACTATGGCATCAGCAAAATTTTCGCGCAACGGTAAAGACATAGCCTTTGCTCCATACGGTGAGGTTAGCAAAGAGATGCGCAAGCTTTCCGTTCTTCACTTTTTCAGCGCGAAAAAGGTTCGATCTCTTAGGTATATAAGAGAAGAAGAAAATGATTTGATGGTCAAGAAACTTAAAGAATTGGCTCTGAAGAAATCTACAGTAGATTTGAGCCAAACACTGTTCTGTCTTGTTGGGAGTATCATATTCAGATCCGCCTTTGGACAGCGTTTTGACGAGAACAAGCATGTTAATCAGGAAAATATCGAAGAACTCATGTTCGAGGTCCAAAAGACTGGCTCTTTCAGTAATTCTGATGTTTTCCCTGCTGGTGTGGGATGGTTTATGGACTTTGTGTCAGGACGGCATAAGAAACTTCAAGAAGTCTTCGTCGAGGTTGATACTTTGCTGAATCATATTATTGATGGTCACTTGAAAAACCCTGTGGACGAAACAACTCTTGATCGTCCTGATCTCATCGACTCGCTCTTAGATGTGATGAATAAACAAGAACAAGATCAATCTTTCAAGCTCACCATTGATCATCTCAAAGGAATCGTCCAAGTAAGTATATACTAATCTAGTTCAAAATATTTGAGGGTTAAATTACAGTAAGGTTTTTAATGTTAACAAAGTAAGATTTTCGTGAAGGAAAATTAATGAACTGTGTCAAAATTCATAAGATATATTATCTAAATATAGTTTCATCTTTGAAACTTTTTCAGATGAAACTCTAAACATATCCTGAGTTTTAGATATGTCATTAACTTATTTTGTGTAATTGTTGACCTAGAATATATATCTTGCTGGAATAGACACAAATGCTATCACCATGATTTGGGCAATGGCAGAGCTGGTTAGAAACCCACGGGTGATGAAGAAAGCTCAAGATGAGATACGAACTTGCATTAGAATCAATCAAAATGAAAGAATCGAGGAAGAAGATGTTGATAAGCTTCAATACTTGAAGCTTGTGATCAAAGAAACCTTAAGACTACATCCACCAGCTCCTCTTTTACTTCCAAGAGAAACAATGGCTGATATCAAGATTCAAGGCTACGCCATTCCTAAGAAAACACTTCTATTGGTTAACACATGGTCGATAGGACGAAACCCTAAACTCTGGGAAAACCCTGAGGAGTTTAACCCGGAGAGATTTATCGATTGTCCTATGGATTACAAAGGAAACAGCTTTGAGTTTTTACCCTTTGGCTCTGGTCGTAAGATATGTCCAGGGATAGCTGTTGGGATTGCAACCGTTGAATTGGGACTCTTGAACTTGCTTTACTACTTTGACTGGAGATTACCTGAGGAAGATCAAGATATAGACATGGAAGAAGCTGGTGATGCCACCATTATTAAGAAAGTTCCTCTTAAGCTTTTCCCAGTTATTCATCATTAAAAAAATAAAGAAAAAATCGTCTATCACTTAATGAAGGCACAAATTTATGTATAAAAAACTTAGGTATATATCTTTTGATTACTCCATATACAGTATACTGATGTATGTGTTTCATATATAATGATTATCATTATTATAAGGTTGCATTACATATTAATTTTCAAAGCAAAAAGATAGAATCAACTTTTTAAACATTATCACTTTTGTTATTATGTGGACAAGAGAAGATATTCAAAATTCTCACTCTCTATTTAAAATCTAGATGCAGATTCACAACTATTCTAGATATACTTTACTTTTTTGTTTCTTGGAATGAGTGGCTTCTAGAGGATCATATGAGATAGATACATTCTCTATCACACACATATTTCCATAGAAAACATCGAAATAAATCTTGAATTCGTTCATTCATTGACCTTTTGGACTCTACTAAAGAAAACAACCCTAAGAGTCTCGAGTCGAGTGATCTGATCTCTTAAATGTTTTTGACAAAAACTTTCTCATTTTGTTTTGACATTGTTTGAAAAGTCTATATTTCATTATCTTTAAATTTTAACGTTATTTCTCACTCAGCTTATAGACAAGAAAAAAGGAAAAAAAAAAAAAAAACAGAACAAGAACAAGAACACAAAAAAATGTCAGCGTTCCTCTGTTTCCTCTGGCTTTTGCTACTTCTCTTAGTAACAATAATCTTCACAAGAAAAACCCAATCCTCAAAACTGAAACTTCCACCCGGACCACCGAAACTTCCGATCATCGGAAACTTACATTACCTCAAAGGATTGCTTCACAAATTTCTCCTAGACCTCTCGAAAACCTACGGTCCAGTGATGCAGCTCCAGTTCGGATTCGTCCCTTTGGTGGTAATCTCTTCAAACCATGCAGCAGAAGAAGTCCTCAAAACCCATGACCTAGATTGTTGCAGCCGACCAGAAACGATAGGGACAAAGACAATCTCTTACAACTTCAAAGACATCGGATTCGCTCCTTACGGCGAAGAATGGAGAGCGTTGAGGAAGCTCGCCGTGATCGAGTTATTCAGTTTGAAAAAACTCAACTCTTTTAGGTATATAAGAGAAGAAGAGAATGACTTGTTGGTCAAGAAACTCTCTGAAGCTTCTCAGAAACAATCTCCTGTGGATTTGAAGAAAGCTCTTTTCACTTTAAGCGCTAGTATCGTGTGTAGAATAGCCTTCGGTCAGAACCTTCACGAATCCGAGTTTATCGACGAAGATAGGATGGAGGATTTAGCGTCTAGGTCAGAAAAGATTCAGGCCAAATTTGCTTTTTCTGATTTCTTCCCTGGAGGTTGGATTCTTGATAGAATCACCGGTCAAAGCAAGAGTCTTAACGGTATCTTCGCAGATCTTGACGGATTCTTCAACCAAGTTCTCGATGATCATCTAAAGCCTGAAAGAAGAGTATTAGAGGCTCCAGATGTTGTGGATGTGATGATTGATATGATGAATAAACAAAGCCAAGATGGTTCTTTTCAGCTCACTACTGATCATATCAAAGGAGTCATCTCTGTAAGCATTTCTAAATAACCCTATCTTTTTACTCTTTGTGTTAATCTTGAGTTAAGGATTTAGTTTCTGTAAATGGATTTAGGATATATTTCTTGCTGGAGTAAACACAAGTGCAACGACCATACTTTGGGCAATGACAGAGCTTATAAGAAGCCCAAGAGTGATGAAGAAAGTGCAAGATGAGGTTAGGACAGTACTTGGTGAGAAAAAAGAGAGAATCACAGAACAAGATCTTAACCAACTTAACTACTTCAAGCTAGTGGTCAAAGAAACATTTAGATTACATCCAGCAGCTCCACTTTTATTACCAAGAGAGACAATGTCTCAAATCAAGATCCAAGGCTACGACATTCAAGAAAAGACTCAGATCATGGTCAACGTTTACGCGATAGGACACGATCCTAACCTCTGGGAGAATCCTAATGAGTTTAAACCGGAAAGATTTGTTGATAGTTCCGTTGATTACAGAGGACTTAACTTCGAGCTTTTGCCGTTTGGTTCTGGTCGAAGGATTTGTCCCGGTATGACAATGGGGATCGCGGTAGTCGAGTTAGGTTTGTTGAATTTGCTTTACTACTTTGATTGGGGGTTGCCTGAAGGAAGGACCGTGAAAGATATCGATTTGGAAGAAGAAGGTGCCATTATTGTTGGTAAGAAAGTTTCACTCGAACTTGTGCCTACTCGTTGTCAATGAGCCTAAAAAATAATAATCATCTTAAATTATGAGAGAGTAAACTTTCATTGAATAATAAAGTTGTGTTATCTTTTTTTTTTCTCTAGGATTTGTAAGTATATAGATCCTATTTAGTTATGAGCATTTTGTGAGAATGTACTTAATTTCAAAGAATAAAGTAATTTACTGATTTTATTGATGAGTTTACACAAAATTTAGGGAATATGACGAATTGATGTTGATTTGAATCGATCTTAGAATAACAAAAGATAAAGAGTTTTGAAGGCAGTTTTGTTTTACCTAATCTACATATTTGGATGACTAAATATGGTATTATATGAATGATCATATGATAATGTTGAAAAATATTTACCTTGTCGCACACAAAATATTAAGAACCTTCGAGGATATATATTATATATATCTTATATAATAAGACAAGGTTTCTTCTTAACTTTGCCTCACAATGCGACAATTGTCGCTCTATGCTTCTGACATGTGTCATTTCTATTTAATTCTAATCTAACATTTCAAAATTATTTTCTTTATGATATTGTGTGGTAAATTATATGTTATATGTATAGTTTGCTTTTTAAAAAGTGTCATTCTTGCAAAATTAGGGGTTTCCTAATTTTTATTTATTTCTAATCTAACATTTCAAATAAATATTATCTTTATGATATTGTGTGGTAAGTTATATGTTATATGTATAGTTTGCTTTTTAAAAAGTGTCACTGTTGCAAAAAAAGTTTTTTCCTAACTTTGGTTTCTAATTAAATTAAATATCATATAACCTAAACATAAAATGGAGTTGTTATAATTTTTCATTCAAAGAAAATTGCTATGACTTTTTTTCCTACTCCTTAAAAGATACCTTTTTAAGTTATTAATATAGGTAATAAGTTATTAATAACATATTTTCTAATTTTAAAAAGTTAATTTATAAGAGAAGAATGAAAGAGATTTTTTTTGTATGGTCAAATCTATGATAAATACTGAAATTAGAGAAAGCTTTATTGTTTTTCAGTATAATAAATTAGTAGATCTTATAAAAAATTTGGATAAAAAATATTTTTAAGATAATTATTTCTATATAACTATTTAACCAACAAAATTTATTTAATTTTCTATTATCAAACAGTTGAGAAAATAATATAATGAATTTAAATCAAAGAATAACTATCATATTATATAACTTAAAAAAATATTATATATTTGATTCACACTTTAATATAAAATTGAAAAAACAAATAAACCACAAAACACATTTAATCATATACATTAAACTCACACTTTAATATAAAAACTGAAATAATATAAATTTGCATTAACTATATTTTCCATTCAATTTTTTCAACATACAATCAATTATAATTGACTCCCATAATTGTTTTATGAAATTGTAACTCCCATCACTTCTCTTCCTATATATACTCATTTTCTCATTATATCATTCTCTCATTCTCTCATTATATCATCCTCTTATTTATGAAATTTATTTGCTTTGTTTTTTTTTGTTGTATGAGTTTAAAAAAATATATACTATTATATAAAATTTCAACTCTAGAAACTTTTAGAGACTATATGATATATTGATATATATCTTACGTTATTATAATTTTTTTTAAAAAATTCATCTCTATTTTCTATTTTTGATTATCAACATATAAGTACATTCACTCCCTCTCTTCCATTATATTTATGTATCTTTAATATTTTTTCAATTTTCTTTTGTTCTTATATGACATAAAAATCAATAAAATGATCATTTTAAGAATTTGATATAAATATCTTTAGAAAGTATGATACAAATCTATCATAGTATCTTATATTAGTTCCAATCATCGTACAACAAGAGAATTAAGTTATAAAGATTCATTTATATATATGCATTTTCCTTTTTTGATTATGAAATATCTAATTAAATATTTTATGGTAACACAATTTCCAAATAATATATTCTTACCTCTCTGTTATTCATATTATTTTGTTTTGTAACACAATTATTTTCATTGTCACAGTCACCTTTGCATCAACTAAATTTTTCTACTCAATTTTATTTAACACACAATAAATTAGAATTAGGTCCCACAATTTGTTTCTTCTAATTTTTAACTCCCATCACTTCTTATCTTATAAATACTCATTTTCTCATCCTCTTCCACTTTATCTTAAATCTTATGTATTTTTGTTTGTTATTTGTTGTATGAGTTAAAAATATATATATATTTAATAACACTGTAAAATTTTAATCAAATCTTTTCATTTTACACTATATGAATATATGAAATGTCTCTTCAATATATGTATCATTATATTTAGTTTTTGTGATCAAATGGACTATTATATTTTTAAAAATTATATAGCAATCAAAACTGTTATTTGTAGTCAAAGTGTTAAAATATATATACTTGCTTACAAAAAATTGGTCCTTAAATTTTGTCTTTTAATGATCATACATTTTATGAAAGTTAAATTTAATTTTAATTCATTAATTAAACTAAATCCACTAAAATCCTATTAAATTATGATAATTGATAACATATTAACTACACAATAATTTCATACCCCACTCTACACTCTTAGTAACTTAACCATATTTTCTAGAAATAAATATATATATTCATAATAATTCAAATACCTACCCGAGTTATTTTTCCTAGAGAGACCGAACCTAAAATCGATTTGTCATAAGTAGTTCAATATTGTTGTCATGTACATATAATCGATAGATGTTGTTGTTCATCTTCTTTGTTAATTTTGATTAAACATGTTATGCTATTTTAGTTTGGATTCATTTATTTAGCTTTTATAGTAATGTAAATCTTCATGCATGTTTGTTTTTAACAAATTTAGTAGTAATTTTAAAACTAAACTAATGCTACATTAAAAATTCTATATATTTTATCATCTACCTCCTATGTCAGCT